CTAGCTGTGAACCCTTAGAGGGGCCATATTGCCAGCTGGCCAAAGGGACCAGGCTTGGTGAGAGGCAGAAAGAAGCTCCCAGGTGACCCAGTGTCCATGTGGACACATTTGCATAAACTCCACCATACTTAGGGATGGTGTCGTGTACAGTTCTTGGGCTATGCCACAGTACTGTGGGTCCTTCATCCTTGTAAACAGGGCTCCTGTGATTAGGGCTGAAGGGTCATAACCTCTGTGATCCCTACATGATTTGTGGGATATGTATATGTGCACAAGTCAGACACACAGCCCTCTTCCCGGAGGATGGAGAGACTTTGACTACCATGATGTTCTGATATTTCAGGCACACACAGGGCATCAAATGCAGCTGTGCGGGGACACCTGTGAAGGTGGCAATCAGATCTGTCCTAGTCAGGAAAAAGCTGTGGAGAAGCTGAGCACTATGGCTAGAACTGAGGAGCAAAGATTACCCCCACCCCCATACACGTGTGTGTGCCGGGACTTGGAGTAGCTGAGGGCATTGGGCAAAAGAGGAAGAGTGTGAAAAAGAAGTTCAGAAACAGGGTGGAATATGGAGAGGCCACCATGTGGCAATAGCTAGCTGGCCCATACACACAGACCTGTGGTCACTTAGGGCACCTGCTTAGTGGAAGAGTGGTGTCCCCACATGCTACTATCTGATGCTGTGTGTGGCTGCCTCAAGGCAGTCGAATGCCCACTCCTGGGGTCACGACAGCTTGCTGTCCCTAAGGCTGTGAACTGCCAGGCTCCACATGCAACTGTGTGCACTTCTGGGCCCCCTTTGTGACACACCTCAGGTTACACACGGCCAATCTGCCTGCACTTGAATCTGGGGCTGTCGGGCTTGAGGCCCTCGCTCTCAGGACTTGAGGGTGGCCTTGGCTCCAGCCAAGCCAGTGTGACTCTTCCACCCACTTTTCTCTGTCTCACAGACAGCAGACCTGCCAGCAAATTAGGTTAGGGGGAGCTAGGTGAAAGTTGTTGAGTTGAGGCCACTGGGCTCTTTCAGGTCGTAATTACATGTTACTCACTGCAGTTGCTAAATGTTAAATTACAAGCATTGGCTCTCCAGGCATCATTTGACCACAATTATGGTAATTATGTCCCTGCCAGAAGGTCAGCAAAGTGACCTCAGAGGAGGATATTAGGGTGACAGAAGACTTGGGGGCTGGGGCTGAGTAGGGCAATGGGGCAGGTATCATATGAACACCAAGGGCAAAGCAGTTTGTGGCTGGCCAACCTTCTCAAAGATTTCAAATGCTAGGAGGAAAAGCTATTATACATGGTTAATGAAAACTGAACGTTTGTCTGGAAGCTTCCAGGTTCTAGGTAGCTCTTCAGGGACAGCTCCAGGTGACAGCCACGTTGTATAACAGAATAGTCATCAGTATGCATCTGAAACCTCAAGACTAGGCAAAACCCACCAGTGCTGACAGTCTGTTGAGCTATGCTGGTGGCACAAAGTCCCACCACTGTGGGGAAACACAGGAGATTCCTCACTGTGATGCCTTCCATGAAAGGAGAAATGCCTGCATCTTGTGTCCAAGAGACTCTGATTACCAATTCCCATCCAGGGATGAGGTACTGTATGCTGACACTGGGAATCCTGTATCACCCTGGGAATAAGAACTATCCTACTCTGCAGGTAACTGAGGTTCAGAAACAGATTCCAACACCACAGACTGTGGGAACCTCAATGTGGTACTGCTGTCTGAGCTGCATCATCTACCACTCACAAGGGCCTACATGCTCCCTAAAGTTCAAAAAGGCTGTCCAGTTCCACAGAGCCTGCTCCTGGCAACTCCTTCCCACTGTTGGGCCCCATGAAATGTTCCAGCCCACGCTTTATGACATAAAATCTCTGGGGCCAGACATATACAACTGAGCCTGGAGCTGTCACTCTGGTCCCCAGATTTGTGAGGCCACACCCCATCTTCTTGTCCTAACACCTGACTAGCCACAGAAACTCCATCCAAGGATTTATCACAGAGGTTTGCACCAAACTCTATACCAATGCTGTGAGGACCAATGTGAGGCCATCCCTCCCCACTGTGAGGTATCAGGGGGATGCTGGAGCCCCTTTTTGGATTTTGTCTATGGTCCCTTTCCTGACAGCCTGGAATGACACATCTTAGTCTCTTTCCTTATAGAACTTCCAAGAGGGATCCTGGGAAAGATCAGAGGGGCTGATGAGGTCCCTGTAGGTCCATGGTCAACCCACTAGGACTTAAGAGTAGAAAGGAACAGTGGTTGGTAGGCAGCCTCAGACAGCTTTGTCCCACCTCATTCTCCTGCTCCCAGGAGCCCTTTCTATGGGGATGTTCTCTCTGCAGGTGGATGTACTGCAGGACAGTGGTCAGTAGGTATGCCAGAAGGCCCTGAGGATCTGTTCTCTATAACACAAACCTCCCACCAGTCACCAGAGTGCAGTATCCCAATGACAATTCTGAGAGCTGGTTCTGCAGCCCTGGCCCCACCCTGTGCTGGCTGATGGGTCAGGGAGATGGGAATCAGGAAATTCCTGCTTCAGCAATCCTACAAGAGGATCAGGGTCCTAGAAGGCAATGGCAACCTCCTCATTGCTCCACTGATAGGCAAGTGTTGATTCCTACCCTGGTTTTGGCTTCATTTTTTTCTTTTTTTTTCGGTCTTTTTGAGACAGGGTCTCCCTGTAGCCCCAGCTGTCCTGGAGCTCACTATGTAGACCAGGCTGGCCTTGAACTCACAGAGATCCATCTGCCTCTGCCTCCCAGAGTGCTGGGATTAAAGGCATGCACCACCACGCCCAGCGGTTTTGGCTTTTTAATTAGATTTTGTTTTAGGTTTACATAAAAACTGTGTTGAGGGGCTGGAGAGATGGCTCAGCGGTTAAGAGCATTGACTGCTCTTGCAGAGGACCTGAGTTAGATTCCCAGCACCCACATGGCAGCTACAGACCATCCTTAACTCCAGTTCCAGGGGAATCCGAAGCCATCTTCTGACCTCTGTGGCATTGCACAACATGGGTGCACTCACATACACACAGTCAATTCACTCATACACATAAAAAATAAATAATTAAATAAAAAACCGAGTTGATTGTAGAGAAGATTCTTCAATATCTCTACTTCTTATCACAATCTTTAACACCTTTCCTTAGCATGTACGTGTGGTAATCAATGATCCAGTCTGCATTATAGTCCACTCTTGTGTTCCACTGGTTTTACCAAATGCACATAGGCATGTACCCACCATCCTATAGTTCTAGTGTCAGGGCACTGTTCCCTGGGATGGAACCAGCTTTGGCCCACTAGAGACCCTGGTCAGTGACTGCAAGTCATTAGCTCTCACTGCACTGGACGCTGTACCTAACCTGCGCTTTCATGGTTCAATGGTCTTGATCTGAACTTTGACATATCACGCAGCCCTTCTAAGATGGATGGGACCTGATGGGTTACATGCAAATAGTGTATTCAGCTCTATTGAGTTCTGGGTTAAAAAACATTTCTGCACAAAAAGTGGCTGCAGTTTACAGTGTGTAATTGACAAGTTCCTTTCCTCACTTGCCTGGGGGGTTTCACTTGGTTGGTTCTCATATCACTGCTATAACCTGGAGGCAGTGATGTGGGCAGGGCCCATACTCTAAAGGGTTTGGGGTGGGTGTAGTAGTCTGCCAAGCTCTGAATGTGCAGGTGTGTCCCTAAAGCATCAGACAGGGCCCTGAGTCTGAGTCACATCATTTTATGTTAAGTAGGATTCCAGCTCTGGGTGTTTGGTCAGGTACGAAGACCTGCTCAGTCACAGGGCTGCTCTGTACTGATCCTTAAACTGCAGCTGTCTTTTGCAGCTTCGCAGCCCCCTCACCTTCTCAGTCTCTTTTGAGTGGTCTTGACTCTACATATGGTGCTGGCTTTCTCAGTCTTGAAGACTCATAATTCCATCCCGGTCCTTCCCCCTGTATGGTATAGTCACCACCCAATAACTAGACTTCTGGGCCTCTCCTCATGGAAAGGTGCACCTTGTAATCCCTACCAATCACTTGAAATTCTTCCTGAAATGTATCCCGCCTAAATTTTCCTACCATTTAACTCTCTTTGGGGCTTTGGAGTGCAGGTGAGTAGGGGTGGTGGTTCAGCCTGGAGTGCCTATCTCTTCACCCTCTCCCTCTGAATCAAGTTCTAAGCCAGAGAGAGTACTCCTGCCTCCCTGTTCAACCTTGCTGCGGTTGCTGTGGTCTCTCACACTGTTAGTTTCCACATGGCTACCTGTAGAAGGAAGGTGCTAGAAGAGAACCATCCTCATCGGGCCAGAACTGGGCTCTCATAAGGCAAATTGTTGTTTGTGTGTGGTATTTGGCAATGTCTGCAGACAGTTTGGGTTTGTCAGTCAAGTCGGGGGCAGGGGACTACCGATGTAGAATGGGGACCAAGATGAACTGTTGCTAAAGTCCCACACTGCCCAGGACAAGCCCCATTGTAAGAACCTTCCAGCCCCAACCTTTTTTCGTGGCGTGGATGGTCCAGGAGCCACTGAGGCTGTCTGGAGAGTGGGGTTTAAGAGGGGATCAACAGCTGGCCAGGAGCTGGGCTAGGATCGTGGGCACTCGGGGTCTCTCTCGGGTTTCTTTGCCTCTCGCAGCCGGGTGCAGGAGCAGACACACCGCGCCGCGCTTCCCTTGCCCCCAACACCCTCACACCCCTGGCCTCCGAGCCCCAGCCTCAGCTCTCCTCCGGGACCATGGACCCACCCCTAGCGCCCTCCTCTCTGCAGCGTCCTCGCTTGTCCTACCCCAGGCTACTTCCTGGCGTCCTGGGCCAAGGGATGCTGCCCACTGGGAATCCGCGGCGTACCACCAGGGCCTTGCGAGCCCAGGCCGGTGGGACTCGGGTAGGTGAGCTGGCGCGGAGGGCGGAACCCAGGCGGGGGCGGAGTAGCGCACGGGGGCGGGGCGGCCTCGAGGTCCCGTTCCCCCAGCTGAGCCGAACCGCAGTGCCCGGACTCGCCAGCTCAAAGCCTTGTACAGCTGTGGCAACGGGTGCGCTCCGGGGCTGCTGTTCGCGGGGCCCCGGCGGCTCCGGAAGCCAGGACAAGGCGGGATGGGCTGGGGACGCGCGACATGAGCAGCCAGCACGCGGAACCACCTCGCGGGAGGCCCTGGGTCGAGTACTCAGCGAGTGGGCGCGGACCCGGGAGGAGCAGGCGAGGCAGGGCGTAGCCGTGGCCCCGGCCCACTCACGCTCCCCCTGCAGTGCTGCTGCTGCGGGGGGCGCGCAGTACTCCAGCTGCCTGTGCAGCTGGAAGGGGAGGTGAGTCTCCCGGCGATTTCCCCGGAGCTCTGCTGGACCCGACCCGCGCGCTCGGCTCCGGGAGGGCGAGCTGCTGGGGGTGGCGGGGTTGTGGCTGTGGGGCCGGCCTAGTCCGGTGATCCCCGCCCCAGCCCGGATTCTGGAACAAAAGAGCCTGTGGCGTCCAGGTCCGGTCCCAGGGTCACCCGGGGGAGGCGCGCCGGCTGCTGCTGCCCACTCTCCGCGCGCTGTTCCGGGTCCCCATGGGTCCCCTGAGTTCCGCCAGGTTCGGTGGTCCGGAACTCGGGTTTTCTGCCCTCCGGAGTAGCGGGGGCCGGGCACTGCGAGGAGGGACAGCCTGGGCGCTAAGAGCGCCGGACCTGCAGCGCCCGCCAGCCAGGTCCGCGTGGAGACTAGTAGAGAGCGGCACCTGTGCTCTTCAGTGCAGCGGGGCAGGACCTCCGGCCGCTGGTGAAGGTCAGGCTGGCCTTGGTAGTGGCGCGCGGGGCTCGGCGACACCCCCCTGCCCCGGCCTACTGTGACAGCCAAGGACTTTTCGTGGTTTTAACTGACGTGTGATAAGAAAGGAGCGCAAGCCCCAAGTGTGCGCGGGCGGGGAACCTGGGGAGCCGCAGCTACTCCGGACCCAGAGGGCGCACCGGGTACCGCCGCCGGCCGCGGGTCTGCTCGGCTTAGAGGGTTTGCCACGCTGGAAGTTGCCATTTCAGCGGTTTGCTGGGCGCGCTGCACAGCAGCGAGCTTGTCTCCTCTGAAAAAGCAGGCCTGGGCTGCCGCTGGGTCTGGTTTGGGGCATCCCGTGGACAGGGCGACGGGGGTGGGGGTACAAGATCTAATCCGATGCACAGAACTCAGCGCTGATAGCTCATGGGGGAAGTGTGTGTGTGTGTGTGTGTGTGTGTGTGTGTGTGTAAAGACAGTTTTCCGAGAAGGCTGGGGGTTGAGCGGTGCCCAGGCTCTGCGTCAGCAGGGCACCGCTGGTTGTCTTGGACTCTTAGGGTGCCCAGCTCTGTGAGGAAACCACAAAGACCACAATCCACCCCTCCCCAGGGCTCCTGCTAGAGTCCTTGGACTGGAAAATTGAGCCCTGGCTCTGGAGAGCTCTGCACCTCCTCTCTGGGAGTTTGCTTTCTCTATCTTTCCAGCGGAAATCCCTCCAGCCTAGCAGAGTAGGGACTCAGAGGAGCTTGGGGGCCGACAAGGGTGAGTGGAGCTCTGGGGGAGGGCTGGCCTCGGAAATGCTGGCCAAGAGCCTCGATGCTGAGCTCTTCTGGGTCTGCCCTTTCCCCATGTAATTAGCTTCCTGCTCACAGCCCGCACTGCTCAATCAATGTGCCCTAACCCCAGGTCTTGGGGTGTCCTGCTTTGGCAGACCCAAATCAGAAACCCTGCCCCTGCAAGTGAGTAGGGTTCCCAGATACTTTCTTTCCAGGTTCCCAGAAGACTGTGTGGGTGAAAGGCCATCTTCCCCAGGGTCCAGGGATCTGGTGAGGTTAGCAGGGAGGTCAACCTTCCACCATGGGAGCTAGGCCAGAGCCTCCAACAAGTGTCAGCAGTTAGGGGTGTCCAGAGCCTCCAACAGGTGTCAGCAGTTGGGGGTGTCTAGATTCTGAGCAACCTTTATGTCTACCTCCATGACTGCCAACACTGGACTCCCTCAGGGGCCTCTATCCCAAGGCAGAGCCTGGCAGAGAGCAGCTGAAGGCACCCGATAGTGGTAGGTGGGATGGGGAGAATGCCTGAGACTCTTCTTGTAGCCCCCATTTATCAGTAGCTCCACAGGTCAGCTGTCTACAGCATGCTGGTGTGATTGCTACTCACTGTTTATGACTTTTTATTTTTTTTTACAGGGGATGGGGTACAGTACCAGGTGAACAAGCCTCAGAATGCTGGGTTCTGGCCTCTGTAGGAAGGGAGTTGCCTTCCTAGCCCTGATTTCTCACATTTGACTGGTGCAGGCTTCTAGGTGTTTCCAAGCAATTAAGTTGGAAATTTTGAAACCCTGTTCTCTGCCCATGTTTATTAGCTGGTGGCCATATAGGTGGACCATGAACTCCCTCGCCCTTATCTGCCAGGGCACAGCAGGTATGGTCACACCTGGGTTCTCTTGTAAGGCAGGAAATAAAAGGTAAACCTTAGCAGCAGAGTCTTTTGCTTTCCCTGGATCCAAAGCCCTAACAGAGATCCTCATCTTGTCCCACTGGATGGACCTGTGGGTGTGAGATGTGTGCCCAAATGAGCTCTGCTTACATCAATTTACCTGGAATTTACACTTTCTCTCATAAAGTTACTCAAATGTGTGTTCACCTGGGAAGTGAGCCTTACTGACTTAAAAACAAAACGCTGCATTGTACCAGAGATGTGGCTCAGTGGTCTAGCGGTATAGTGCTTGCGTAGCATGAGCAAGGCCCTGTTTTTGCTCCCCAGAATGGACACACACACAAGAAAGAGACAGAGAGGGAGAGGCATAGAGAGCTAGAGAGAGCATTAATTCAGTTTAATCTGTGATCAAATCAGCTTTTTCAGTTTTGTAGCATAAACTGGAACACTTCTGTCTCCAAGTAGCTTCATCACGGCAGTGTAACATGCTTACTTTTGTGAAGCTGATGTATCCACTGTATCTCATGACAAGGATGGTAAAGTCCTGTCAGCAGTGGTCACTGAGATGCACTTGTGTTTATGGTGATGAATATTTAGAATGCGAGCTTTAGGGTACTAGATGGTCCAGTGGGTAGACCTCTCTGGTCCCACGGTAAGGGACCCTTAACTTTAGTTCCTGCTTGTCTAAACAGTGGCCCTGTGCATCACACTGATTTTTGTGTGAAAGCTCCTATGCCAAGCTCCTGGTCATATCCCTGCTTATGGGCGACTGTGCTCTCTCTGGGCGCAGGGTGCGCTCACTCCCTGCCAGTCCGCAGACTGCTCTGGGGAGCGGCGGCTCCAGGAGTGGCACGGGCGGATCCGCAGACTTCTCCAGTGGCTGCTTTGGGTCCCATGTCTTTGGGAGTGACGGCAGCTGGTGGCTGTCGTGACTTCTCTGGTGCTGGGAGCTCGCTCTGCTACTGGAGCATTGTCCAGCCTGAATCCCGTCCCTACTACACCCGTGTACCTTTCCTCAGGATTGCGGGGTTCCTGGCCACTGAACCCCACAGGGAAGAGGCACGGAGACAGCAAAAGCTGGTGTGACTCAAGGCTCGGCTTAGTCTGTGCTTACAGCTTTATTCTCTCTGGGACCCAATCTCTGAGACCCAGAATCCCCAAATCCCAAATCCCAACATCCCAAATCCCAATATCCCAAATCTCAATATCCCAATATCCCAATATCCCAATATCCCAATATTAAGAGAAGGCTATAAAATCCCAAATCCCAACATCCCAAATCCCAATATCCCAAATCCCAATATCCCAATATCCCAATATCCCAATATTAAGAGAAGGCTAGGATATTTTATACCATGGGGGTAGTGGTAAAAGCTTTTGTTGTTAGATGCTTTGTGAGACATTCTATTTACATGTGGAAGTGGATTTCTGCCAGACAGTTGTCTGCTAGGAAGATTACAGGAAGGCATGGTATCTTTTCAGAGCCAAAGGCCATGTTTATGTCAGGGCATTTGTGGCAGCCACTTCAAAGGGAGAGACAGGAAAGGTGCCAGAAGGCATCTTGCTATGAAAAGGAGCCCGCAGCACATTCCCGAGCTGCATGAGCTGTCCGGTGTGAAGGG